GCAAGTATACATCAAACCACACTCCCTCTTGCTCATTGCAATTTGATTTCCTACTGAAAAGTTAATGACCTCAAAAGAATCAAACCGCTTATTCATTTGACCAATATGAAGACCTAAACACAATATCAAGGAATATAATCTAGGACATTCATTAATTTAAGAAGAGAGCAGCTGATGATGGAGTCTTAATTATCTTTAATTAGTGTTGGTCTGACGATGTACTGCCATTTATAACAACAGGAATCAATTATTGTATATAGTGTCTGTACCATCATTAGGCCTGCATTTAGAGCATTAATTAGTGGATTGCAAGAGGACACATAAGCTGTAGGTTCTTTAATGGCTTGATCTATGGGATAATTAAACCAACCTTGGAATCTATCTCATTCTTCTATCTATTTGGCTGGTCATCTGCTGTATTGAATTGCGCGTGCGGTGCTTTCATTAAAGATGCAAACGTGTGTGATATATGAAGTGAAAGGCTTTGTCATACAGTAGGGCTATATGTGCTGTTGTTTACTGTATTGGCCATTTTAAGTAAATTTTAGGGGGAATGTGGTTTTGTTGTTTTTACTGTATGAATTGTATGTAAATTATCATTTGTGTTCTTAAGTGTTCTAAAGTGACTTTCTGGTCGTCCACAGACTTGCACTACAATGGAACTTTTAGGCAACTTCGAATCTGTCAAAAGGTTTCAGTCCTTAAATGAAGAAGCTGTAAATGAATAATTCATTTAATAAATTAAAAGAAATTCAAAAGCATCACATAATTTATCAACTTTGAATAAGTTATATATTTTAAAAATTAGTTTTCGCAGACTTTTTAATCTCTGATGTTCCATTTTGCCAGCAAAAAATCAACTATAATTTCCTTCTCAAGAATATACTTATTTAGTGTCCTGTTCTTTGGGATTACCCATTCATGTTCCCAGAATGCTTATGTTATGTTACTGTATTTCATTAACAAAAAATGTTCATAAAATTCTTGATTTTTATTCTCAGTGTCTTTGATAGCTTTGTTTAATTTAATATATATTAAAGATTTTGCTGTATAAACATTCAAATCGATGTTAAATATTTTTATTCACGTAGGCCACAGTGTGATGTGGTATGAGAGTGCTTCACTGATTAAATAAGGTGAAGGGGTACACTTAGTATCATTCAAGTTTGTTGTTACCCCTTGAGAAGATAAACTGTCACCCCTTGAATGAGATAATTATGCTACTGCTTGAATAGATAAAATATGTAAACAACATAACCATTCATACAACAGATATCTAGAATTTATTGAATGTGTGTCTCCTGCCGGTCTTGATGTAACGATAACATTCCAGATATGATATCTTGATGAATTCTGTAATAATACTTCAACAATTACATTGTTTACTCAATATCTGGCATCCATAGTATTTTTGAATATTATTATCAATATCAGTATGATTATTGATTTGTAAGATAATAAATACTGTTATTGCACTTGCAGGTCAAGTATTGTAATTACTTATTGACATTTAAAATGATACAGTAATCAGTGAATTAATTGTTTTTTAACTTGAACTAACAGAAACACAACTTACTGTAGCTTGTGAAAAATTAAACTTGTTTCCGAAATATTACTATAGATGCATGGGAAAGTTATAAAGTGTTAGTGAAGATGGTGTTTCAGGACATAATTAGTTTTCAGTGAACAGCAAAGTACAGTGTATTGGTGTTGGCTGGTTTCGGTTTGTCGAATGAGGAAATTTAGAAGGTAAACTAAATCCTTCCTCCAATGAAAACTCCTTAATTTTATAACGAATTTGACATCTGGGGGTGAGAGGTGTTTGTACACACCCTGTGCCCCTAATTTGAACTATACCCATGTACTGTAGTATGTGCGGTGTGCTGAATGATGCAGAAGTAACAATGATATATACATTGGTGTACCGCAAGCATTAATATAGTAATGATATATTAATAGTAATATGGATATACTGTAGTATTTAAAATACTATATTTTTTTACCATAGTAATGCCAGCTTTTCATTTGTAAAGGTCACTATAATCTGATTAAAGTCCAAAGCAACTGATTTGCTGACAAACTATACTTAATTCTGTGGAAAGTGTAACTATGGCAATGAGGCATTTTCTTTCAAGTCAATCCACCATTGTCTTGATTCAGAATTTACTGGAACAGCAGTGTAATTGTACCGTAATACTTCACCTTTTGTTTGATTCTCTTTATTACCTGCAGGCATAGACGTTCATTCGTTACTCATATTACCCTTTCCATTAATTATATGCCTTGTTAACATGGGCTACTTAAATAAGAAACATTGTTTACAATTTGTCTGTAGTATGACAAATAGTGATACTGCTTTGATTTCATGAATGAGCCTATAGTGAAAAAGATATCCATCCTGTCTGCTAGAATTATTATCACATGGACAGGCGGTGCACTAATTGTGTGAACTCGCTGCTCTGTATGGATTGTGTTTGTGCGATTCTCACTGAACAACTGGAGTGACTAAACTTTAAAGATTCGTTGGTCCACAAGCTTCTTCTCAGGCCTGTTACTTGCATTGACAGCTGTACAATAGGGAAGGCAAACCCCACTCCCTTGGCAACAGGTGTTCGCATGCTCTAGAAATGTCGGTTAGCTGGAGACTCTACTGTAATCAAAATAATATATGGTATATCATGTATACATGTGAGTTGGTTTGTGAACAATTGATGTTTACCTGTGGGGAGGGTATAAGCACAGGTGTGTAAGCATGTAACTACAGTATGATATTTATACTTCTGTAATGTAATACCTATAATATATGGTTTACATTTAGAAATTTATGTAAATTCTACTGTAGACTATAGTACTGTAAGGTAATGTTTAATATGTTAAACTTTCGTTTTATGAGGATTCCTACATGCGTTTGCAATAAACCAGTGTAACAACACATTTTTATGTTCACCACAGTACATAAAAGTTTAAGATGCAAAATATTTTTAAAAATGTAAATGCTACTATACTTTTGACTAAGCATATTTTATATATTAATAATGAGATATTTTTACTAGATTATATTTATTTGAGAAGCTGTTTGAATGACTGATATAGTTGGCTGTGATAGCATTTGTTAGTAAAAGTAATTGAAAAAGAGAATAAGAAACAAAATTGATTAGGCCTATTATAATTTAATATTAACTTTGAAAATTCCAAACTGGCTTGTTTTAACTGAAAGAAATGTTAAATTAGGCCATATGATTTTATGTGTAAAAAATAAAAAAATATTCTTTTCATGTTTAAATAAGTTGAAGCAAATGGACTTAGGAGATACTCTGAATGACATATTATGTAAGAAAATAAAATTAAATTCAGCTCTTCTTTTTAATTGAGGTTTTCTCAGCATTCTGAGCAATAAAATGCCCCTGTTCACTTTGATTGAAAAGTGAGGAACAGTCTTTAAATACCAAGTCCATTTATTTCTTGATGATGACAATTGTAGCTTAGATCACTACACAATTAATAGCCTTGGTCTACTGTATACCCATTTGAACTAAAAGAATAGCTTTGTCCGAAGTATCCTCATTTTTTCACCAATGGTCAGTCTGCTCTTGTTAATATTTAATACTCTATATAAATTGCAAGACAATAGTAGCTTTTTTCATTGATTTTTAATGTCAATGTCGAATGAAAATGAGCAGAAATTACTACAAAGACTTGTGTATTCCTACATTCATGCTTTGATAGAGAGGTAAACGATATGTAATCAGGTTTCATGTACCTACAGTAAATCTACAGTAATAAAATTAAAGATTATTTGTTGGATTTTATTGTTTCTATGTTTTTGTCATGCTAGTATGTGTACTGGTTTTAAAATTATTGTATAGAAAGCCAGAAGGAAATTGCTATTAACTGTACTCATAATAATAATATGTTAGTCTTTTAGCGCATTATTGAGGCCCTTATGCATGTCACATTATTATCCCGGTTATTGGAACAAACACCCATGGAATACATACTCTGCTAGGTCTCATGGGATGTATCATTATTATGAGGTAGTAGTAAATCGGCACATGTGACATTCAAGCCTATTAGATAGAAACCAATATATTCCTAGGTAGGGAAAATGTTAACAATGTAACTCGAGCAAGCGGCCAAAGTAGGAATCAAATTCCCGACCTTAATGTTGAAAGACCTGCCGCACCAGTCACTCTCACATCCTGGTAATGAAGGGAAACTTTTGAATTGTGGTCAAAGATGGATAGAAAGAAGGAGACAGTATAATGAAGAGGACTAAGAGAGCAAATCTAGAAATTGACAATGATTTGTTTTTTATTTCAAATATTAATAATAAATTTAATAATATGAATAATTAATGAATAATGCCCTCCCAACTAAAGCAATGTCTTTATGGAAATATATTTTTAGATTTAACATATAGGGGATAATTTAAAAATAGTTGCATAAATCAAGCAGTCATTTTAGGTTAAAGTTAACAGACACGAATACCTCAATCCCTTTTCAGTATATAACTTTTTATCTAAATTGCACAATCTTATATAAACATATCACATATAAACATTAAGTATTTGTACCATGACCATTAGTAGGTTTACCAGGCTAATCTGTTTGCAGGTCCTTATGAAAAACCACAATTTAAGCTTTCGAGAGCTGTCACATTTTATCATACCATCTTGGTCTTGCTACATCATAAATATAGGTTAAACTTGCGTTGATGGTCAACAACGCATTAGGGATAGGCTATGTGGAAATTGAATCAGCCGCCATTCCTTATTAGAGTATCATTACAAGTCTTTTAAAGTACAACTGAAACCTATGGGAGAAAACTTGATAATATGCAGATTCCCCAGTAGTATATAAAACAGAAAATTCCGCTAGGGAGTTACCCTAGATGATGAAAGAGATCTCATCAGATAGCCCAGGGGTTGTTGCCTCACAAAATATTAGCCTGTGGGTGCTGAATTGAGTGACAACTCCCTATCCTGTTAGTATTATTTCTTTTAATGATGGAAGGGAAATATTTATTTATGTATGTTGCATGTATGACTTTAGCTGTCAATGTGAACCTGGGTTTAGGCGATGATGATGATGAAGTAAATGTAGCGATGGAGTGTGGCCGTCAAAAGTTGGATGCAATAACATATGACGGTAAGTAAAGGATTAAATGATTAGATTAATGGATCTATACATAGTCAAATTTGGCTGATAATAATAAATACATAAATCACATCTTGTTTGCATCATGTTAAATGTTCACTGAATCTAGCTATTTATAATTTATTTGTAGTAATTATAGATATTAAAATATGCGGGTAATTATGAAAGTGTCAAAATGTTAAGTCTGAACTTGTTTGATATTGAAAGAAGTTATTTTGAGCGTATTTGAGGATGAGCTCGTTAATTGAGAGTCTAATTGCCCGTCTTGTGCCTAATGCTCTGTCCACACTATCAACTTTTCTTTGACAAAAAACTGTTGTATGCCCATATATAGTCATGATGTACCCATATATAGTCATGATGTACCCATATATAGTCATGGTGTGCCTATATATGGTCGTGATGTGAAGTAATCATGACCATATTTAGGCATGTCATATGTTTTTGTAAAATAAAATTTGGCAGTTTGGACAGGGCTTTAGTTAAGGTATCCTATCAGTTAAAAACTAGAAAAAAAAATTACAGATTTAAATACTAAGAATAAATATAAGGCTATGTTCTCACACGGTAGCTAACGGTTAGCTGCCGTGCGCACATGCGAGAAAATCTTGATCCGGATACCAACAAACAATATGATGATCGAATCACTGGCCAATAAGAAACTGGAAATTGTAAACGCGTACGTGTGATTAGTTGATGATAGAAACGCCCTCAACTTGCTAACCGATAGCGCTTGCTATCCGGATACCGCTAACGGTTAGCGCTAACCGATCAGGCGTTCTCACGCAGGTGCTAACGGTTAGCTCCCGATCCGGATACTAGGGCTCTCATGAGAACCAGGCTTAAATCAACTAAAATGACTGGCTAATGAAAATGAGTACCTATAATTTATATTGTTGTATTTATGCATTTCTAATAACTAGTGAGGAAAGCAGGCGGCTATTTTTTTCATTTTAATTTAATTTACTAATTAACTTACTTAATTACTGTAGGCCTATACAAATTAGGCAATGTTTACTCAACTCAGACTCTGGTTCTGGAGTTCCTTGTTAATTTTAGGCTGGTTTTAATTTTTGAATACTTTTTCTTAGAGAATTTAAAGCAACACTTTTGGTGTTTATTCACTACTGTATAATAAAAGTTGAAATTCTTTATTATTTTATTGAATCATGAACTGATAGTGATAGTTTTGATAAAGAATGCAGTGTATAGGTTTTTGTTATAATGGCTAAGGGGAAATATTATTAAATTCCTTTGTACTTTCCCACTTATTGAATTTTTCTTTTACTACATTGAATTTTTTTTTTACTACTGCACACAGAATATTTGTGCCTTATTTCAATTATTGCTGCTATATAATGTGGAGAATGCATAGAAAATATATCTATTTTTATCTTTTTCTAATAAATACATTTTCTAAATGCTGATAAACAATGCGATAACTAATTGCATGAGTATGATCACAAAATGAAGAACTATTTTTAAACAAGCATGAAATCTTTAAAAATCAGCCAATGAATATAATCATATTAAGAGTAATCAATTAAAAAACCTCCTAGATGTTTACTGTACCTTTGAAATGTCAAAATACCAGCATTATAATATGATAAAATAGAAATTTACAGTATCCTTTTAAGTAAGATATGCTTTGAATGTTTAATCCTTTAATTTTTTAGTTTCAAATGTGTAAGTCTTGCAACTAGTGTTATGTTGTAAAACAAAGGCATGTTTCATTCTGGTACTACAATGATATCACAGTTAATGTTGTCGCCTAACATATGGTTCCGATAATTTTCATGTGTTGAACAAACGCTAACCATTCTTCGCAGATTAATTTGCTAATCCTTTATTTTGATTTTGCTAATTCAACATTGGACCACCTGTCAGTATCCCTTCAATCCTGTAATCGCAGAAACTGGAAGGAAAACATTCCTTTGGGATGTCATGAGCTAAGGGGATATCGTTTATCGGACGAATGTGAAGGAATTTGACAAAAACGTGCCAAGTTGAAATTGCCGATACTTTAGTTCTGATCCAATCCAAGTCTTTATTCATCACATTTAATTATTCCTGCAAGTAATCTCAACCCAACATCAGCCAAGCGACAAACGTCATCCCTGTTGATTAATACAAATTAATTCCGACCGCCTGATACTCACAAATGTGTTTAAGCACTAATTGCTGTGTGTGTTTTACTGATTTGAGCGTTGGTGGTGGGTTGCGGGAAGTGGACAGGGGGTCCAGCGTAGACTTGTCCGAAGCGAGTTATTCCAATTGGCCTCTCATGGTGAACATTAAACTTATTCTTGTTGCCAATTTGTCAAATTTTTTCGAGGAATTTGATCTGTATGATAACATGTCAGTTAATACGATTAAAATAATACTTGCCCTTAGTTGGATATTGTTTGGATATTCAGCTGTTCATTACATTCTATCTTATTATTGTTCACCTAAATTATAGTACAACTGGAGGTTTATCTTGTTTTCCCAACCATTCCTTGAGGGAATTTGCCTCTCTTTGGAGTATGTATTCCAGTTCAGCTTTCCTCTAAACTTGAGGAGAGAGATACCATATATTAAAGTTAAAATCATATTTTTTTTAAAGCTAAATCTTGCAAAAAAAAAAAAAAAATTTATATCAAATCCACTGAGTGACAGATATTATTGTAAAAGGAATTAATTTTAAAAATTACATATTTACAAATATTTGGTAATCATTTGAGTTATGAGGAATTTGGTTGGATTCTTTAAAATGGGGAAATTGGAAAAATTTGCCAGTGGTGAGAGGTGTATTGTCAGATTCAACAATAAATACTAAAACTTGATTTGAATCCACAAATAATGATATAAACTCAAAGGCCTTGATGTCATAATGACAAAAGTATTTAGCTAGTTTTTGTTGTTAACGTGAATGGTGTTGGCTTAACTTTAGAATCTTCTACAGAATACAATATATCAGCCTTTTGTGTACCTCAGACCTGTAGTCTCAAGCTCTGGAGCATGTACATTCCAGGCAGGAGTCACTGCGGACCTCATTGGCTCAGTTCTGCTTCGTTTATGTTTACCAATTGCCCTGCGTTAATTGTGTAAAGCCAATTTTGTGTCCTGTGTGTGGGAACAGTATTCTTCCTAATGAAATCTGTCACTTATTGGCTTAGGGAATCAATCGGCCATTTAATCATTTTTATCGTATTTTTTTAAACTAAAAATTGAAATTTAATGTCTGTTCTCATGGGTAGAACACAGACGTGACAGGGACAAATCAATTGATTTATTAGAAAATATTGTTAAAGGCAATATTTACTATAATAGATTTCTTATTTCATGTGATGTTTTGAGAAAATGCCATGGTCATTGCACTAAAAAAAATAAATGGTAACTTAATTTACCTAATTTTACTGTCTCATTCTGGTATAAAATGAGTGATTTAAGTATGTTATCAGTTAATAATTCATAGTTAAAATTTTATTTTTATCACAAAAATGAAGAACTTGCACTATTTACCCAGTTACCAATTTTACGTTATAATAATATTGCAGTTAAGTTACCAGAATGTTTTTTGTACAAACCAAAAATGTGTTTTTATAACCTAATTTCTGACGACATAATGTTTAAAACGTTGCTACCATGTTGTGATAACATGTTTTTTACATACAGCATTTACAACACTCGCAAATATTGTAATAATGTTTTGTGTTGGCTGGGTAAACAGCAATACTTCGACAAGAATTTTTTTATACCTTGTTTACCAAACCCGTGGCCTGCCAATAATGGTGATTTCGAATAAAAATAAAATTTAATTTTTGGCCAGTTCTGTCGCCACGAAAAAATGTTTAAGAAAAACATTTTAGTTTTAGCTTTATCATTATCATGCCTGTCGCTGCCTTGAAATCCCTTAAAATAAGGTATTTATACTTCTTCCTAATTTAATCATCCCATTACTGCACTCTTTATAGTACATTCACCAGTAAAAGTTTATTTTTATTTTCTCCTCCATTTGGATGTTTTTTTGGCAAAAGTATTTGCTAAATAAGAAAACAAAAATTAAATTTTTATTTTTTTCCACCCTCCTCTGACTTTAAAATAAATGTTCGGGAAACAAGGATTAGAAAAGTCTCGCCTTGCACTAAAAAACAATAGATACAATTTAATTTAATAAAAGTGAATCCCACGGTTTGATCCTTGATCCCTAATGCACTGATGCCTACCTATTGGCCCACATTGGCAAGGAGGTGCATTCACGTGGATAATCCATATGGTGCCTAAGGCACTGAAACTTGTGTCGTAAGTAATTCCTAGGGCACAGAGGGCAGGATACCTATTCAATCTAGCCCACGCGTTGGAACTTTAGAAACGTCATCTCTAGTACTGTACTTGAATGGACTAGAAAGGCTGTATACTCATGTCTCAGAAGAACATTTTTTTATTATTGAAGTTCTAATAGGTTATTGATTTAAAGTTGAAAGTTTTTACTGTTTAGTTTATGCTTCTATCATTAAATTAATGACTTGTTATTAAAATATTGTAGACAAATATAAAGTGCAATATAAAGTAACTAAAAAGTTTCAGTTCAGTTAACGACTTTAATTGTAATGTTGCTTTCCAGTGTCAATCAAACTGGCCAATCAGAAAGTGTTATTGATAGCCAGGAAAATGTGCACGTCCGACAAATATGCAATTTTACGTACATTTATTCTGGGAGAACTTCAGCAACAATATCCGAAAGGCCGGTCATAGTGGAATGGTCAATTGTATTTAAGGGTGGGTACTGTTTGTGGGTCAAAATGGTATGCTGGTACTGTACAGTATTATTGGTGATACAGCTTGATGATGATATCGTGATAATGATGTCATAATACTAGTCATGAGAGCAATTCAAGTGTATGGTTTTAGTGAGAAAGTATAAAACTCAAGTGTATACGTACAAGATAAGAACAATGGGATTACCGGTATAGGATTAACAGGATATTTCAAAACCATATAGGATATTTCAAAAGTTTGATTGCCAATGAAAGATTGTTGCTGGGAAATGAGATTACCATAGTTTAAGCATGGCTTTACGTAACCCTTTTGTACAAGTTGGCGGCATATAATTTTTAATTCTTATTCTTCGATGCTTGTTTTTTCCAGCTTTTTCTCTCCGTTGATGGGCTATGATCACAATACTTTAAATACTGTATAGATAGTACATCATCTAGATAAAATCTGTTACATCAAGGGTCACCAATCAACATTAAAAATGTAGACCTAAATGGAGCTCTTACTATGATGCATTACTGGGAAGAAAGCCAACCTATTTCTTTTGCAAATTAGTAATTTTAGTCAGATTTGGTCGAGAGCCTTTGGTTCGAGTCCCATTGGTGATCAACCAATTCCTATGACAGCAAAAAAAAACAAAAAAAAACAAAACTCCACACCCTAAGCCTCATATTGTATTGTGAGTTACTTGCTGTAAAAAAAAAAAAAATAATAATAATAATAAATAATAATGATAATAATAATCTTATATAATGCATAATACAAGAAAGTTATATATGCGCATTACATTAAAAAAAAAAAAACATAACCATGAAATATTCTAATACTACAAAGAAAACTAATAATGAAAATGGTATAGAAGGCAGAAGAATCTTTTTCCACTGCTCCGTTCTCTAACACTTTGAAGCCCCAAAAGGGTTCACTGGGACAGTACTCACAGGAGCTCTAGTGAAAATGATATCTACTGTAGCTAGCCTATCCTACAATTTTAATAAATAAATAAGATGTGAGGGATATATATATATATATAATTCTGTTTGCATTACTATTTAATTTCTTTCATTCTGATTTTTAGAACTTCTAAGATATGGTGGAAGTGTATTTCAGAAGGCTGGTACAGAAGACTACTCAAATATTGAGTTGGATTCCAAGCGGCATCAGGTCATAGTCGGAGCAAAGTATGTCATGTTTATCAAAAAAATTGTTTTAGGTTTCCTATTGAAAGAAATTATCTGAAGATGCTCAAAAGTTTCCCCCTAAAATTTACCCATCCATAGAATTCTGATATGTCAATTTCATCAGGTTTATTTTTGTATTTAAAATATTTGGTGATGAAATAACTTCATTAGCTTTAAGTGTAGTATTATCTCAAATTATGGTATAAGTTCTGTAATTATCTGTTCTAAACACTAAATAAATTTGGATTTGAATTATTACTTTCTGGTACCGTTAGCACAATCTGGACTTTCGTTATTTTCACGATTAACTTAAAATTATTCAAAATGCCAAATTATATATATTGAAAACTTGAATAATTCATGTGGAACTTGAAATTATTCAAAAAGTGAAATTATATCTATTGAAAACTTGAATAATTCATACTTTTTTTACAGAGATAACTTATTCCGTCTTGGTGAAAATGATCTAAATGAGTTACAGGTAAGTTAGCATTTCTTAACTGAAACTCTTTTTTGATTGTATAGGCTGTCGTACTTAGTAGGAAGCTGGAAATACCTTCAAACCCAATTAAATTAACATATTTAATTGCTCATTAAAAAAGGATTAAGTTATCAGCTTCTGCGATACAAATTGAAGCAATTCAATTTTTGTTGATTTACACTGTAGGACTTTTTAAGATACCAATTTATGCGTTTCACATTATTATCTTGGTCTTTGGATCTAACACCTATGTAACATACTTTTGGCTCTCTGGGAGAGATAGTTTCCAAAATGTTTAAGTAGCTTGTGTGTTGAAATTAAACCCTACCAGATACCCACTTGTAGTCCTGGTTGGAGACAGACTATGTGGATAAAAGTCCCTTGCCCCTGGAGACAAGCAAAATGCACATCAAAGGATCAACACCGCTAATGTTGAGAAATTGAACCACAGGTTTGCACCAAGAACACCCAATAATACCCTCTTAACCTATTGGTTTAATTTACCATAGGTGACCAAACTATATGTTTACGAATACTACTACACAAGCACACTGCATTTCTTATATCATTTAATTTATACCCCATGGTTGCTTACCTTATGCCCTTTAAGTAAATTACACCAATGGTAAATTGTTGTTGAAAACATCAAAAGTTATTGGAGTAAAAGCAGTTATGATTATCCTTCAGGCTATTTCAAGTTTTTTTTTCGTGGGTGGATTGTTCATGTTTTATTTTTACTTCCTGCAATTAACCCACCAACCCTGATTGCTTTCTTGCCCCTGGCCTGAGGAAATTGTACCTGTTAATGTCTTTCAATTTAATTTACCATTAGGTGTCAAAAATGATACCTTTACTCTCCCTGGATAACTAAAATGATTACTGTATATGATGAAGTACAACTGGTTTCAAATGTATTTTCTTCGGTCAGTTTTTTAAAAAAAATCACTGCAATTGTGAGCAGGGGTACAGTCTGCAGCTCATGCCATTATGCACACTAATAGTTTTTTTTAATCATTACTTAATTATTTTAAAAAAAAATTGAAAGTGAACCCTTTTTTATCTAATGTACTTCTTGAAACAAACCTAACTTTGCACGAAAAATAACATAAATGTTAGATCAAAAGATACAATAAAGATCAGAGCTAGGTGAGTCGAATACAGTTTTATGAAGGTATTGAAAGTACAGTATAACAAGATCAAAGTTTACAAAATTATTTTCAATCAATCAGTTAATCATCTTATCAGTCACCAACTAGATTCCTTCTCTGTAGTTCATCACCCTAACTTTTAAGTACTGATTGACAAAGTCAAATTTATTACCTATTTGGAGTCTTTAGAAGATGAGTCAATTATTTATATAATCTGTTAATAGGTTTAGTTTAATTTATACAGAGGGGAAGAAAATATTTGGCATCAGGTTGACGTTTTTCCCACAATTTTAATAGAGCGCATCAAAGAATTTTCCACCAAAATAAATACAATTTTAGATAAAAAAAGCAATCTCTGATTAGGCTGGACAGTTAGGATAATACTTTTTATGGGAACTGAAACCAGATATAATAACAGATTGTTTAATGATTCTGATTAAAAATAAACAGGATATTAGAGTAACGTTTGTAAAGAATAATACAAAAGATATTGCAGAATAGAGAATGAAAAGAGTATTAATAATGATCTTTGTCTTGTTAACTGTATACCTGATCTTGACATATGATTGACACTTTATAACTATTGGTATTAATATATTGATTTATTAGTTGATACAAATTGTTATTACATGTTGACCTAATGACCTGGAAAAACAGAACTATATTGAGAGATATAAAACAATTTTTAATGTCCTTTTGAGTACCAAAAAAAATATAGTTTGCTAAACAATGTATGAAGCAAGTTTCATTTTATGGTGTGAATTCTATAATTTATCAACCCATGTTACTGAGATTAGAAGGCAAACAACTTAATCTCCTTGCTATTATATGACTCCACTCCGCTTGTAAACATCCATCACGAAAATAATGATGGCATTATACCTTTCTATTTTCGTGTTAGAAAAATGGATACAATACAAAGAATGGGCCAAATAGTTTTGAACTCAATGAAATCCTATACCAGTTCCTAATATTTTCACATCTGCTGTATGTTATTGCATCAAATGTAATGTCTATAGAACATACCGACATTATTATGTATTCTGGTTGATATCACATACTCATGCCTGTTTGCATTAATTTGAGCAAAGCCTGTTACAAATAATATACCGGTACACTACCCATTCAGAAATTTCCAGAGATTACTTTGTCTAGAGGCAATAATAATAACCTGTAAACATATACGCTCACCCTGTGGAACAATTTTCATAACAGTAGCCGTGCCCTTATAAGTTATAATAAAGCTGAAGTTTTTGAAATTGTAGATGATAAGTTACAGGGGAGTTAAGTATTACCTGCAACAAAAGCTGAATTGAAGGGCAGGTGCAGATAATTAAAAAGTTATTTTTTAGACAGGTTAAATATATCTGGAATTTCGATCTTATAGGGAAAAGAATATGAATCTACCTCTGGTACTTAATTACCTATTACTAGTTAAGTCTGACGAATTGGTAAAACTTGAAAACATTACAAGACTAGTGTAATTGACGAAATAAATACTTTATTAAGCACTCATTTCTTTTCTAGGAAGACTACCACACAGTGTTCGAAAGCTGGTGTTAATACATGTTTGGTAACATGTCAAATATTTTATTGATCTTGGTTGTTCTTATAAAATTGTTCACTCTGATCTTTAATTCTTTTTTGTGATTATATAGTAAGTTTTTGAGCTTTACAGTATATTGTACAAAAATTAGCATTTTCGCTGTGGCATTTAAACAAGGAACACGCGATAAACAGACTTATTTCACTTTATTCAAGAAATTGACCAAATTTTCTAAAGATCATTGAAGTTGTAACTTGCTGGTAGCAATACTTAAACCCAATGTGACATAATCTCAACAATTGCAACACCTTATTAAACACACTTGAACCCCCTTCGCAAATGTTTGTTTTGTTATTTAGAAGTTTTAAATTTAATCACTATCAAATAGTTTGAGGGCATATGAAGATTAGTGTATAGAATCTGCTGGACCAAAATACCAGCTGCACCAAATACTTATTCAGAGTGTTTCTTACCATCATAACCTTTTAAAAGTTACAGTTACTATATTTAAGAGTTTTTGCCCTTTTATTCCCGAGATCTGCAGAATTAGTTCTGGTCTTTGATCCTAGTTTGTTTGGATAAACCTAACTGATACTTTGCTATGTTAAGTGTGTTCTGTAAAGCAAGCTCTTCAAATATAAAATGCCAGTGACTCTATTTTCTGGCAGTTGATATAAAATTTTTATTATAAATAATTCTTTGAATAACAGTGACATTAAGGCTTTTGTCTGTTCATTGCTACTATCGGCAAAGATTATAAATAGAACAAGAGAGCGTACTCCTGTTTCTGAAAACGTCACGCCTGCGTAGGACGCCCAGTGACGGTTGTATGCACTTTTTGTTACTCAGTGCAGCGCGATAGAAGTACGCCCGCTATGAACTCAGTAAGAAGAAAAAAAAGTGCTGTAGCTTGTGGAGAACAGATGAACAGACAAACCGACCGTGCGTGGGTAATTCAAAGTGCGTACAAGCGTTAGTTGGCGTCTTACACTAGCTGCGTATGGCGTATCGTTTTTTAAGCTCTCAATGAGTGTAGTTTGCTCTCTTGTTCTATTTATACTTTTTGCTATCGGCTACTTCCTTCCTCCATCCTTCTTTCTTCTTCATCAGTGTACCATTCTTCGCCTAACACAACTTTTCCTTATCACTGCATTATAGTATTTTTTCGTAAGATGATTGAGGAAAAAATATATAAGTAAAGGAAAAAAATAGTTGATAGGAAAATATGGCTTTGTTACCACTAAACAACCAATTTCAGAATAAAATATTGATGATAATGATGATTTCATTTTATTCACAGGCTGTAGAATGGCGACCAGATGACCGTACCCAAATGAAATGTGCCAGTAAGGGAGAATCATTGGTAAGATTTTTTAGCTCTACTGCCTCTATTATACTGCCCTCATGAGCTCTACAAACAGTCTGCTGATTATTATTTGATTGATTTAATCAGGGGTATAAATATAGCTCTGGTAAAAAATTGTCTCAATTGAGAGATACACAAAAATGGCTCCCAAAACTAATTTTATTTATAAAGTGGAGCTATTTTGTCAGCAGTGGAGAAATTTGTAGTTGTTTGTCAATTGAGAGTATTTTTTCAGGAATTATTTTTGATAAGTAGTGTACCGTATGTACATCACACAAGGTACACATTCATGGTTGTGAATAGTTTGCGCGACACAGATTAATGTAGCTGTATTGTTGCCTAAGGAAATGTTACTTGTATAACAGCGACCTTAATGTTGAGATGCCAGAATTCAAAGACTTATTTGTTTTTATTCTTTCAAGACAAGGAAGACTACATTTTAACATAATAACAGAGATAACGACACCGCAATTAATGATATAAAAAAATTCCACAAACTCTCGCCAATTGGATGCATTTGCTGTAATAAATTAATTGCTGTCTTTGGGTGTCTGTCCAGAATCGGGCAACTGTCCAGATAGTTAATTGCTAGCCATACTCTATGGGTCAAGTTTATACCAATTACCTGTGGTTATTATTAAAGTAATTCACGTCTTATAGATTATAAATGCTCGGGGAAATGTATTATCCTTTAGACAGGTTGTAAGTATGCATTTACTAAAAATAATAAAAATGGAAATGATATTCCAAGTACTTATAATCATATTACAAATCATAATTGTTTGTTATATGAAGGTTTTATCTATGTTTAGAGATTTAAGTGTAGATTTTCATTTTGTAGACAAGTACTAAGCTTTGACCTATTTCTCAAGTATTTCCAACCATTTTGATTGGCATCTGAATAAATTGTTTCATCGCATTATACGTCAAAACCCATCCGGGATGTATAGCGTTTGCCGATAGTCTTCAAGCAACGTTGTAATTAAAGTGGATTATTAATACATCTTAAGCTTTCCAGACACGTTTCTTCACAGTCAAAATTTGTCTAATTATATCTGACGGTGGTTGTTGTCATTATGGGGACATCTCAGAGATACCGGCGCAGTAAGGATGATAAGAATCTCCGGTGGGATCAGGCCCATCTCAGCAGTGCTACATTTGCAGTATTTACATTAGCGACAGGAATTTGAAGGGCTTGTTTAATGGATCAGCTGGAGAGGACCAGAACATCAAAACATTACACTAAGCTCGGACAATATGTCAAAGATTTTTCCTACCGCAATGTTTGTGCACAGTTAGTTTTAGACACTTGCTTAAAGCTAAAATTTGACAGGTTCTTAAATTTTACGATGAAGAATCTTTGCTTAGAAGTGTCATGTTTCTTACAATTAATGATAATTGTTAAAAATAATATGACAACTACCATATTAAATAATATTTATAATAATTCAATTCAATATAAAGTTTTTTTCCACATCATCAATACAAAAAACATAGATGGAGAAATACATAAGGGAAAAAAAAAAAAAACAACAGTAATTGATAAGAATGTAAGCCCATCAGAACATTTGAATAAAGTGGAAAAAGGGTCGCCACAACAAGCAAGCTTTATAACGGGCGCCCATTGAAGAATGGTAGACAATACCTTAATATAATTAAAGGATTAAATGAATTCTTTAATTATTAGCAACTTCAATTAAATAAGTGTTTTCATACAATGGCAATTGCTATTATAGCAACATATTTAGAGATTAATCATAACTTAGGATGCTATTTTAACCCTATTATTAATCTCTATGATTTGTTGGATTTCTGTTTTCTAATTGAATTTTGTAAATCCACAGATCCAAATTAATTCATTAAAATTTGGATTGACTTGTCTCCAGTTTTAATTAACTAACGTGACCTACTTCCTAATTCCTATATCTTAATTCAGTATTAGTCATGGAAAAGATGTTAAAAATTGTTTCAAAATAATGATAAAATTGGTAATTCATCAAATATTTCTTTTTATAAACAGACTGAGATATTTTCATTATTTAATGTGATATGCAATCTATTCAACCATAAAAGCACTGGTTCAATGATATGCAAGATCCTATTAATGTATGATGTACTGTATTTTTTTTATGTAGCTGCATGTTAATTTTTTTTTAATGTAATCTGAACACTAAAGTAGAAGATTAGAACAAAACTGTTTAAATATACATTTTAATAAAATTCTTCACTTTTAACAAGTTAACACTGAATAATTCATGCACTAGTATAGTTATTGAATAAATTATTTTAGATATTTGTCTTTTATGAGTCCAGAGAGGTCCTGTTAAATAACCAAAGTCAATATTTTCCACTTTAAAGGTGCGAAACCATTCGTCTGCAAGTCCGGTAGGACTGCATTACTAATTGCCGCAAAATGTCTGCTGAATGCTCGGCAATACACAACATTCCAAGCATCTTCATAATTGTCCGCTTGTCAAGAATTTCTGCTGATTATTTCTAATTTGGCAACCGCACTCCGGACGAACTCATGTCAGCTTGGCACAGTTCATAAACCAATTAGTTTGATTGTCATGTTTCAAAAATAAAAGTTACTAAAAATAGTAATTTACTGATTTCTAATGAAATTATTCAGTTCACGATCTGAGCCATGTTTAGGTTTTTCTATTTTCTCTCTTCATCTCGATATATTTTTGATCACTGGTATTCTGTTCATGGCATATTAAAGTCAAATGTTCTTGTCCGAGAAAGATGGCTGTAATGCTGTATCTTCAAAAACCTTGCCAAATTTTACTGTTATTATATATAGATGTTTATCAAAGTTCTACTTAGCTTGTGTTATTGCAAGTGGCTAGGCAGAATGCGGCTAGAAGATTACCGATGTGATAAGCCTACAGTATCTGTAGGTGTAATTGAACAGCTCTACTCCCTAGCTCAAGAGTCTTACACCACTATCGTCTTGAGGGTATTGCACTGTGGATGCTTATGATTTTATGACCTACTTTTGAGACTAAACAACAGCAAAGTATTATGTTCACTTGTAGATAAATCTGGAATGTGCTGTTTTAATTTCTTTTACCCTCTATAATACATCACTTTTCTAGTGTCTTAAAGTTATCACACCTATCAGACTGGTGTCGAATATATTTTGGCTCTATGTTTTTTGATGTTGACACTGATGATGATGATGAATTTGCATTTCAAACGCATAGACTATTGTAATATGCACTTAATAAATATACAGCCATTACCATTACCGATCAAAATTGTATTTTTTTTTCTAATTTCAGGAAAATTGCTGCAATTTCATCCGTGTGTTGCTTCCTAAAGATGATAGTGTGTTTACCTGTGGTACCTATGCTTTCTCCCCTCAGTGTACTTGGAGGAAGGTACATAAACATAATGATGTATAAATATGATAATATTGTTGGCATGTTAGCCTCATCATTGTTTATAATGAAAATGATGATACAGGTGATTCATTGTGATGAAGAAGATGGTGATGATAATAGTGATGAATGTAATGGTGATGGTGAAAGTGATGATGAAGATGATGCATTTCTTGCACATGACATACTGTTTGAAATATTTACCAACAAATACAAGTTCCCAACCAAGCAATGAATATTACCAATGATTTAAAGAAAAGTGGAGATTATAGATATTGGTGGTAGAACTAGCAACTTAATTTAAAACAAATATCAAAGAAAATATCCAGTAATCTTTAGGGAACAAAAACATTTGTTTTCAACATTGTTTTATTATAGATTTCTAACCTGACAGAAGTAAGCAGAACCATGGATGGCATTGCAAAGTGCCCTTACAACCCACATCACAATGCAACAGCCCTTCTCACCAGCTCAGGGGATCTTTACAGCGGCACTGTAATGGACTTCATGGCCCGTGACCCAGTTGTCTACCGTACCATGGGACCATCACCCCAGCTCAGGACCGCCCAACTCAACTCCAAATGGTTAAATGGTAATTAGAAAGTTGTGTTCACCTACACATTTTTGTTTCTTAATCCTTATTTTAAGGTAAACTTTATATTTAAGAACACCCATTAAATATGCATAGGGGTCAAAGTAATTCTTGCGTACGTAATTTATGGCTAGGCCTTTATGCTTAAGATTTTTTTAGCAAGTTCTATTGTTAGTTTTGATCAGTTTGGTAACCTTATACACCTGTACAATTACCGTATACAACATGTTTCCGATGGGAAGGCCGATTTTTTTCGAGAACACTGTGGGCCTGTCAGAGGGTGACCAGGGGGGAAGCCATTGGAAATTGATCATACAAATTTGGAAATACTTAACAAATGTGCAGTCTCAGATTCTGTATTTAAATTGTTTTTTTCTTTCCCCTCGACGTGAGGGGGACATTGATTTTTAACATCATGAATCGCCTATCACACTTCATTACCTCAGTTCTGCATATATTTTTTTTAAATGTTTTTTTATGTAGCTTAATACACAAGGTCAGTAACTCTCCTAGCTTTTCTCAGTACTTAATTACATTAAGTGACTGATTTTATGCCTACCATTGTTTTCCTGAATTATTGAGGCTTGGCTTGCGCTTCTGCAAGGGAAAGGCGCAATATAAATACCCAATACCAGTACCAGTACCAGTGAAACTTTCACATTTTACCACTTTCTGGGTCACTCGTTAATCAAAACATTATGCTTCAGGTACTATAAAACTCTTCACCCATGGTTGCCACTGTGTCGTACCTTATACAAAATTTGAATCATTTCATCCCCTGAAATTTAAATTATCAAACAAATTTCTAGATTCAGCTGTTTCATTTGAAATTTATTTCCTTCCATATAGCCTGCCAAATACATGTTTCCTTGACTCGTTTTGTGCTTCCTCTAGAACTGAAATAAGACTACTCTAATTAGGTACGTTATAGGAGGGGGTGAATCCTAGAATACTGGAGCCAGAATTCTACGCCATGTGATTGGACAACCTTCATAAATTATTTAATAACAATAAACAAAGAATATGATGCATAGCTTAATTACTGCTTAATGATGAAGTTCAATGTGTAGGCCTACCCTGGTTGGATATCGTGGGAAGTTTTATCCACTGATTGATTAACTTAAGCTACGAATTACTCATGACATGATGATGACCTAATATCTTTACAGTCCACTTGGATGTTTGTGTATTACGTGAAAAACAGCAGAGACTTTTTTCGAGCAGTCTATACACCCACATCCATCCTGTACTCGTCTGCACCTTCCTTTAAAGCCGCGACGTCGACACACGAATCTGAAACAAACCATTCAATAAAGTACACACACACACTCAAAGTAACATTCAAATTTGTACCCTTCAAATTCAATTTCACATTGCCATGATTTCATTATTGTTTAAATTGTGCCAGCAGTTTAGTGATGTATGCCACATGCGTTGAAACATTGAACCAGCCGATACATTGCCATGGAAACTACTCAAGGCATGTATAGGCTCCATAGTTTGTAAATTGTAGGTTTCATTATCAATGAATCCGATCAAACGTACGGAAGTGGGTTATACAGGAGACGGACACTCCCTTAGTGTTTCCTGTATTTCTGATTGATATTACAGATAGAAATTCCATATTCTTAGAGAAAGTGTTTTCAAAAATTAATAATAAATATTAAGTTAATTAATCTAAAAAATTGTGTTAACATCTGTTTGTATGATTAAAGTTAATTACTTGATCGTAGGCTTAATATGCCAGACTGATAATCTTAACTACAAAATATTTGGGTGCAAAGATTTCGGCTGGCATATGTATGTATATATAATATGTCTGCACATTTTGAAAAAAATATATGAATTATTCTAAAATTTTGTATAATCTTTTGTGTATTATCTACTTTTATTTACCTTAAATGTTATTCAAAGTACACCACCAATAATTTTACATATTTGTTCAATTTCATACATTTAACTATTTATATAATCATTGTTAATTTTTAATGCTAGTAGGAAATGAGGGCTAATTATTAATGTAAACAGGCATGAATGAATTCCAAGCTTTAGGAAAAATTAATATTTTGTAAGATATTACTGCAAGTTAATTTGCATTTCCGCTATAAAATAATATAGTTAATTCTGCCCCAGGTCGTTTATTAACTCTGAACAGTCAACCAAAATACTTTTCAACATTAGGTGGCTGTTATTACTTACTGCTTATATGAAGGCGGTATAAGGTTGTAAAATTGAATGTGAAAATGATTGGTTTCATAGCCTTGGGTGTATCCATAATTATCTAACCAATATTTGATGCGCATTTCCCATATAATTTTCTATTTAATGGACTTTTTTAGCTTAAATTTCCCAGGGGCACACTAATAGACCTATTTAATTTAATCGACTTATACACACCATGTGAACGGCTATATTATGTGAATGGCTTCTATTCTTCTTAGGAACTCCACTGGTTGCCCTTTAAGCAAAGGGCTATCTTTGAAGTTCTTGTTGCTGCCTTTAAATCTCTGTCTGGATTAAGTCCCCATTGCATCTCAGAATTTTTGGCGATCCGCAATCTGACATTTTATTTGTATCTTCTTGCAAAAACGGCCTTGTGAAAAACAACAATATGGTGATACAAGTTTTTCCATTTTAAAATAAAGTTATTGTTATAATGTATAACTAACGTTGTACAATTGAGGATGATAATAATAAAGAAAAATAATACGTATTAGAAGAATTTATTGTATTATCAGACAAATAAATTGTTTCTACATTCACAAGTGTATTGAATGAAATGTATAATTTTGCCCTGCTGCAAAACTGTGTTTGACGTACAATTGATTTCATATTTTGAAAACAATTTTTCTGATTGCCAAACACATATTTCGTTTTCATTTCCGGTTTTATTTCATCTGCCAAAGAAAAATAAATTAAAAAAAAAAAAAGAAGAAACGTTTAAAATATAGTTTCTTAGCAGAAATATGTCCTCAGAGACTGTGCATGAAGTGTGATATATGGCTGCAAGTGGTTAATGTGATAGTTGCAGGAACCTTGACTTAAATGTTACCCCCAGCCAACATTACAGCCAAGGATATCTCTGAGATAAAATCCAAAAGGATGCAATCGAACACTCAGACCATCAGAAACGTCATAATACTAAGAATTTTAAATTTAATTGTTTACTTCCTGTATCATTGCTTTTCACTCTTCATTTTCTTCTTTTCACTCTTTTTTTTTTTTTTTTATATAAAAACCAGTAACATTTTGCCCAGACTGAGTGTTGTTATTTTTTTGCCAATATCATTCTCAAAATGTTCTTATTTTATTCTTATTTTGCACACTTTTCAAAGATAGAAAATTATTATTGTACCACAATATATTAATTTACTGTATTTAGAGAGTATATTACAAAGTCACATCTATTCACATAAGGTGCTGATAAGGCTAAAAGAATTTAACAGTATTAACCTTTTTATCATTTATTTATTTATTTATTTATTTTTTATTTTATTCTGCCTTTAACGTGATAACACTTTCAGTGACGCAGCACTGATCTCACTAGTGGATCACATGAACAAAAAAGTAGAACAAAAACAAACATAAAAAAAATATACAGAAACTTAACTAAAATAAAAAAGAATCAATTCAAATGAATTAAAAAGAAGGCAAGAGAACAGAGGGTGGTCAGAAATATATAATTAGTTTTCTGTTTTGATCAAAGTTTAGAAATTTTTAAGTTGGATATCTTTTAATTCTATTTTAATTTGGTTTGGAAGTTCGTTCCAAGCCTTAGTTGCACGGTATAAGAATGTTCTCTTGCCTTGAGTGAGTTTCCATTTTATCTCCATCAAGGTGTTGTTAGATTTATTCCTAGTGCACTGAGAGTGGCTATTTTGATTAAAAATGAATTAGTTACATAGGTAGAATGGGGCAATTCCTTTCAGGCACTTAAAAGTGAGTAATAATAGGTGTTCCTTCCACCTATCATTTAACCTATTCCATCCTAAATCATCCATTAAATCCTTGATGGGTGTTTTAATGTTGACTGAAAGAATAATTCTTCCTAACCTATTCTGGAGAATTTGGAGCTCATTTAAAAGATTAGTTGTAGTGTTAGACCAAATGCAACTGCAATAATCAAATAAAGGCATTACAAGTGCATTTGCTAACATTTTAGTTGTGTTGAAAGGTAGGAACTGTTTGACACGGCGAATGACACCAATTCTTTTAGAAACTTTTGAAGAAATATTTTCGATATGAGTAGCCCAAGTTAAATTGGAATCAAATTAATTAATACTCAACTGTCTGACTAGCTTGATTTGTTGGTTTTTCTAGTTTTTTTAAGTGAAAACCTTATTTGACATTTACCTTGTGTTCTTGTAAAAATGGTGTACTGTATGCTATTTTCTGTTTGCTAATTTCAGATTTAGTCTTTATATGATGAAATGATTTCATTTTTTTTTGTTTGATCCTTTACTTTCATTTGGTAACTTTGGTCATTAATTTTTTTGACATAACTTATACATTTTTATGTTTTAATATATTTTTTTCAGAACCCAACTTTGTCGCGTCCTTTGAGATTGATCCATACATCTACATATTCTTCCGTGAAACAGCAGTAGAATATACAAATTGTGGAAAGGTAGGTTCACAATCAGTAAAATTATTTTCAATTAAGGAAAAATAATAGGATTCTCTAAGAAGCAAAAAAATGAAATGAACATCATGGGCAAGTTTCTACTGATAAACAAAAAATATTCAATTTTTTTTACCGCTTTTTTAATGAGTGCCTAGACAGGCTGCATGCGTTGCAACTGCATTTTTGCTTTTATGAAAATCAGTTTTCACAGCGGAAATTGCATCACCATTTTGTTTATACAACACGTTTTTCGAACTTTCTTTCTCACCTCGAGACAATATATTTTCATGTGAGTTCCGGTCATGATGACAAGGAGGATACCAGTGTGTGGCGAGAAAGCGAATGATTTCGACTGCACATCGGCACAAGGAACGAGCAAATGAATGAGGGCAACGATAGGCCCAGAAGAATGGAGAGGCCTAGGTCCAATATCCCCCTAAAAATTTTTTACAAAACGAGTAATTTCGTCACTCCGCATGTTTGTTGACGTTTTAGCTTATAGGCCTAGGATATGAACAAAAGGACTAATAAATTTGAATCGATCTAGCTTTGTAGTGGTTTGACTTGGAGGTCACATTTCACCTGATATCGCTTTTTGTGTTGCAGGTAAAAAGTTCACAACAAAAATTGGTTATTTGCCGTTCAAACACGCTATTCATTGCGGGTCTTTAATCGATTTTTGAACTGGTCCTGTTTCTACTGCGAGAAAAAAAGCGATTTTTTGAAAAGCGATTTTTTTCCCTTCCAGTAGAAACAGGCCCATTGAAATCTTGATGATGACTACAAAGTGGTAAACATTGCCATGTGGCAGGGCAACCCACCCATAGACAGGTCCACGACCCCTGCTCCAAAAGTTAAGTAAACCTGGTTTTCGATGACTGTATTTTCTTTGCATATGACCTGAATATTGACCTATAAACTTATGAACCTTTAATGTGTTTTGTGTTAAAGGCCCTATTCTGCAATTACTCATATGTTTTCTATTGAAGTTCTGCACTAACCCCCTAATAGGTATGGTCAATCTGAAATTACTTAGATTAATTTATCCCACTGTGATGTCATCTGTTCATAGTGAACTATAACAAATATGATTCTAGTTTCCAGATTTGAAAGTAAATATTTAGTTTGCCCTACAGAACTACTGTAATTGTTCATTGTGTTGTGTTGTGTTGTTTAAGGCTTGTCATGAGTATATTCATATGGTCTTAGTTATACCTGGTAACAATTATTTGATCAATATCATAAAATCATGTATTGTTTAGAATTTTTGTCCCATGTGTCATTAGAGAGTTGACATTGTCATTATTGTTGTCTTCATGTGAATTTGATAACTATTAAGACTTCAATTTTACCTTCAATTAGAAGTATAGAAAGAAAGTATTTTGTTTAAAAAGAATGGCAATAAAAAGCTTAAATTACTTGCAGAAATGTGAATTTCATATTAAAAATAAATTATTCAATTACTTATAACAAATGTATCACTTGTTAACTGCACCTACCTTACTTACCTATGTTACCCACCAGGTCATACTAATGCTGCACATGCTCAGTGCAGGTGTTTCTGTCTCCTGTCTCTCTGAATATTAATATTTCAAATCCATTTCAATTTAGTATTTTCAATAATTAATAATATTTTATTGAAGACAAGGAGATATAAAGATTAAATAAGAACTTATGTTTGAAATTTGATCTTTATTTTAAGAGAAATTGGAGAAATAAAAAACATATTAAACTTAGTTTGGAGAAAAAAGGTCTTCATCAATTATAATATAGGCCTAATATAATCATAGTATTTTTCTGTACACTTAATTTTTATATTAAAAATATAATTATTTTGTTTATTAAGAAAGTTATTCCCTATCAGACATGAATTAGATATGGGGTACTATAAGTTATTGGTCTCTTTGATAAATGGAGGTTGCATACTCGCAAGAATTAACTGTAGAATAAATTCCTAGTATTGCAATGAAACAGCACTGAAGGACACCTATTTAGAGGTACAAATGAGAGACACCTAAATTGTGGGCTACTTGTCCACCATCAATTCCACAAACCCATCCTTCAATTTGGAGACATTCCTCAAATGTCCATGGAAAATATTGGCTGTAATCTGGGCATGTAGGAATTCAAATGCTATAGACTAGTACTGGACCAGGGTTTATTGCCTATATTTCAATACCTTTAATATTTACCAAATATATAGTTACCATTTATCATCTGGTAAATGTGAACAGACAGAATGTTTTTGACAAATATTGGTTTAAACACATTTCCTTCAAGGATAGACAATGTCATATCCTTATGTAATCTATGTTTTTGTCTGTAAAGTAATTACATTATTTGTCAATTCATTCATCAATTTCTTTTGAATGAAATATTTTTGGATTGATTTTCACATTTCTTTTGTATTTGTTATAATAAGCCACTTTGAATGTTTGCACAAACTTGAAAATAAAACTAACGTTCGACATTGTACAATATACAGTACTACAATACGTTTACTTAAGACTAGTACTAGGTAACTGAAAAAATAACTGGATTTTAATATTGATATCAAAATTATGTGCAAGGATATATTTCAAACAGTCAAATAACTATGAAAATGATGAAGGATTGAAGAGAAAATATTTTAAATGAAAGTGCTAAATTTAGATTTTGAAAATTAATTAATTGAAGGTATATATTGTGGCCTGTATTTCTGCCAATAGGAAATACATAATTTTATTTGATTTGGAAAATTGAAATAAACTGATTTGTTAAAATTGAAGCCAATTCTTCTAACATTGGGCTATTATATATAAACATCATTCCTGATAATGACATAATTAATGTCGAAATTTTAAATCCTGACACAATGGTGTGCATTTCGATACATGGAGTGTGTATTATACTATATATCTTATATTATATATGTTATTTTTGTTGTTTTAATTTAATTTTACAATTGCTGTGAAACTTGTAAAAGTGGGTAGGCCTAACAAATATGATTCTAGTTTCCAGATTTGAAAGTAAATATTTAGTTTGCCCTACAGAACTACTGTAATTGTTCATTGTGTTGTGTTGTGTTGTTTAAGGCTTGTCATGAGTATATTCATATGGTCTTAGTTATACCTGGTAACAATTATTTGATCAATATCATAAAATCATGTATTGTTTAGAATTTTTGTCCCATGTGTCATTAGAGAGTTGACATTGTCATTATTGTTGCCTTCATGTGAATTTGATAACTATTAAGACTTCAATTTTACCTTCAATTAGAAGTATAGAAAGAAAGTATATTGTTTAAAAAGAATGGCAATAAAAAGCTTAAATTACTTGCAGAAATGTGAATTTAATATTAAAAAATAAATTATTCAATTACTCAAATGTATCACTTGTTAACTGCACCTACCTTACTTACCTATGTTACCCACCAGGTCATACTAATGCTGCGCATGCTCAGTGCAGGTGTTTCTGTCTCTCTGAATATTAATATTTCAAATCCATTTCAATTTAGTATTTTCAATAATTAATAGTATTTTATTGAAGACAAGAAGATAGAAAGATTAAATAAGAACTTATTTTTGAAATTTGATCTTTATTTTAAGAGAAATTGGAGAAATAAAAAACATATTAAACTTAGTTTGGAGAAAAAAGGTCTTCATCAGTTATAATATAGGCCTAATATAATCATAGTATTTTTCTGTACACTTAATTTTTATATTAAAAATATAATTATTTTGTTTATTAAGAAAGTTATTCCCTATCAGACTTGAATTAGATATGGGGTACTATAAGTTATTGGTCTCTTTGATAAATGGAGGTTGCATACTCGCAAGAATTAACTGTAGAATAAATTCCTAGTATTGCAATGAAACAGCCCTGAAGGACACCTATTTAGAGGTACAAATGAGAGACACCTAAGGCTATGTTCACACACACGGCGTAAGACTGGCGTGGCTTACGCCAGGCGTAAGCTAATCCACGGATTAAAATTCCAAAGTGTTCACACAAACGGCGTTCGTTAAACTAGCAGTAATATAGGCCTATGTGGAATAGTTTTCAGTTTTAAATAATGTACGTGTTGACAGTAGTAAAATTAACAGTACATCATGAAAACTTTTAAATCTGTGAATTGTTCGAGGTGAACTTATATGATTATTGTATTTTAAATGAACAATTTTACTTTTGATTTTTCAGCTAGCATTGTTGATGTTGCAATAGACAGTCTAAATGGTTAAAATATCTTACAAAACACAATAAATAAATCATATACATTATAACTAAGTAAAATGCAATAGAAAAGGAAGCCCCTTACCATTTCATTTATAGAGAGCACAGAAAGAGACCAAAGTTGCTAATATATTGCAATCGTGATTGGTCAATCTCTTGAAATGAGGTCAAATCATTCAAGCATCACTGGCGTTAGCTCAGTGGCGTTAGCTAATCTGGGGTCTGCAGGTAGCGTTAATAACGCCAAGGACGTGGCGTAGTGAGTGGCTTTAACAACGCCACTGCCTAGTTCACACACAAAGGCGTACGCTACGCCAGGCTTAAGCCAGCCTTACGCCGTGTGTGTGAACATAGCCTAAATTGTGGGCTACTTGTCCACCATCAATTCCACAAACCCATCCTTCAATTTGGAGACATTCCTCAAATGTCCATGGAAAATATTGACTGTAGTCTGGGCATGTAGGAATTCAAATGCTATAGACTAGGACTGGACCAGGGTTTATTGCCTATATTTCAATACCTTTAATAGTTACCAAATATATAGTTACCATTTATCATCTGGTAAATGTGAACAGACAGAATGTTTTTGACAAATATTGGTTTAAACACATTTCCTTCAAGGGTAGACAATGTCATATCCTTATGTAATCTATGTTTTTGTCTGTAAAGTAATTACATTATTTGTCAATTCATTCATCAATTTCTTTTGAATGAAATATTTTTTAATTGATTTTCACATTTCTTTTGTATTTGTTATAATAAGCCACTTCGAATGTTTGCACAAACTTTAA